AAGGGAAATGATTTCTACCAGTAAGCTAAATTTTTGCCTTGTAGTCGTATGTCTACCCAACTAGAACTTCTGTACCCATTTTCTAAGCTGCCCTCTTACTGGATATTTCCACAAACCTATCCTTCTCCATCTAAAAACAGTAAATATAAATGCACCTTTATGATGATTAGAATACTCAGATAAACAGCTATTATTTAAATGATGACACTCAGATACTTTGAAACTCAACATTTCACCTGGCTTCCATTCTCCTATTTCCAGCTGCTTTCTAGACATCCACTTACCTGTACATATCCATGGCACTTTAAACTCAGCAATTTCAAAACTGAAATCCTATTCACTCTTATCTACCTGCTCATTCTGTCCCCCATCAATCCAACATAAAATTCCTGTTTCCTAGTCTGGTGTTTCCTAGTTTGGATATTGACATCACTATCCAACGAGTAGCCAAAGTAAAAATCTCAGTTATTCTTTACTCCCCAACCTGTGGACTTAATCAGTCACCATATCTTTCCTTTTGTCTCTACCCCACCTTTACTACCACTGTCCACCCTCATAATCACTGATTTGGACAATTGCCATAACCTCTTACCTGGCTTCCCAGCTTCCATTCCCTCCTCCTCCCAAATCTATCCTCCATAAATGATTTTTAAATAGGAGTTCTTTAGAAAGAATCTCCTTTCCCCATAAATTCAGATTCACTAAACTGAGGATAGGCCTTGGGTATCTTATTTAACAGAAAGCTTCCCTGATGATTTCTACGCATACGCCTGATAAAAATCAATATTCTACAAGCTTCTAGAGTTATCTTTTTAAAAATCCAACTATAGTCACATCATTTTTTGGCTTAAAAACATTCAGTGCTTCCCCACTGCCTACAGTGTAAAGTACAAATTTCTTAGCTTGTGATAGAACAAGCTTCATTCACATCCTGGCCCTAATCTACCTTTCCAGATGCATTTTCAACTACTCTCCTTCAGGTGCCTTTGAGTCTAACCAAATAAGTTAGACCCAACATGTCGTGTGCTTTTGGATATCTGTGCTTTTTTTCATACCATTTCTATCTAGGGTGCCCTTAACTTTTTCCCTTCATCTGGAAAACTCTTCTCCTCAGTGTTATTTCACCTCTGAGGCTTTCCCTGACTGTTCTCCCCTATCATTCCTCCAGGCAGGAGTAACTGCTCTTCATCTGTGACTCCTCAACACTGTCTGTACAGTCATCCCTCAGTATCCATAGGGGATTGGTTCCAAGACCTCCATGGATACCAAAATCCAAGGATGCTCAAGTTCCTTATATAAAACGACATAGTATTTGCATATAACCTTTGCACATCCTCCCACATACTTTAAATCATCTCTAGATTACTTAATATAATGCCTGTATATCACTTCATTTGTGTGGCTTCAGCATAGTACTTGGCACATGGCATTTCAAGTTTTGCTTTTTGGAACTTTGTGGAAACTTTCTTTTTCCCAAATATATTATATCTGAAGTTGATTGAACCCACAGATATGGAGAGCTGACTGTACTTGTATTGCTGAGCTCATTACATGGCATTGTGATGATTTGTTTGCATATTTCTTTCCATCTACATATAGTTAGGTCATTGAGATAAGGATAATCTTTTATGAATGAGTGCCTCTTTCCCTTTGATTAAGAAGTAACAGATTGTCTCCAAGTCTTTTTAAAACCACCTCTTCTGACTAGCAAATTACCTTCTACCTATGTTATCTATCTGCTTCTATCTCTTCACTGAAAAACAAATTGGCATGTCTTTTTTTTTTTTTTTTTTTTAATTTTTTTTTTTTTGAGACAGAGTCTCGCTCTGTTGCTCGGGCTACAGTGCCGTGGCGTCAGCCTAGCTCACAGCAACCTCAAACTCCTGAGCTCAAGCGATCCTCCTGCCTCAGCCTCCTGAGTAGCTGGGACTGCAGGGACGTGCCACCATGCACAGCTATATTTTTCTATATATTTTTGGTTGTCCAGCTAATTTCTTTCTATTTTCAGTAGAGGCAGGGTCTCACTCTTGCTCAGGCTGGTTTCGAACTCCTGAGCCCAAACAATCCTTCCACCTCGGCCTCCCAGAGTGCTAGGATTACAGGTGTGAGCCACCACGCCCGGCCAGCATGTCTTATTAACAAAGAGGGAACCTCCCAAATTTCTGGGCCAAGTGATTATTGGTGGCCATTTGGTATCATGGAACTCATTAGTGTTTAAAGATACCTTGCTGAGATCTTCACCAAAGGAAGATGATGAACATCTGTTGACATTTTCAATGTATTCAACTGGTCTTAAATGTTAAAGATTAATAAAACTGATCTGATGAGTTATGCCAGTTCTATCTTTTTAAGTTTCTATAACTTGTATCATTAATATCTACATTACACCTGGAAGTATTCTTTTTAGCTGTGTCTTATAAAAACCATGAAGTGGTTTTTTTGAGCCAGAAGTCATTTTTGGAGGGTTACACCTAAGAATGCATCTGAGCTATTGGCTTGTACAGTGAATTGTGGCTCTAGTGGAGATCCTATGGTAAAGACCTTTAAGTTTGCAAATGCCTCTTTCATCCAGAATTGCAAACATCCACCTATCCTCCCAGCAAAACATGGTAGGAGTTCAGAAAGGGTATGATATTTAGGGGCAGTTATGATGAGTTTTCAGTTTACAGTGTAATCATTACCGTCTGGTTTTGAATATTAAAGAAGAGACTTTGATGGGTATGTGCTATGATAGTTGAACATGATATCTGCCGAGAGATGGAGATGATTATAAAAACTTTTGTGGCATCAGGCCGGGCGCGGTGGCTCACGCCTATAATCCTAGCTCTCTGGGAGGCC